CACAAAATAATCATGATCATATTGGCTTCATGTCAAATCTTCTGAAAAAACCTTCATCTCTCTCGCTCTCAACTACACAAGGTACACGAAACCTAGGTTTATGGGGGTGCGTAGCATATATAGCATGGCAAGCAAAAACAAAACCTGGGTTTAGTGTACTGTCAAATACCATACCAGAGGATAAGAATGAGATTTGCATGTCCAGAGGGTGAAGGTTCAAGAATGTTTTCTATCCGAGTGGTTGAGGAGTCGAGGTAGTAGTGTTACAATGTTCACATTCGTATTCATACTGCATATAAATATATATGTATGTTTGTATGATATATGTATATAGACACAAGAAAAGATAGATACAACTGACTAAATATATAGGCAGATAAGTGAAGAAAGACAATAAATAGCAAAACGTGGGTATCTATGATATAGTCCTCAGATTCCAAGAACTCGCGTGCAGGCTCCACCGCTTGTCGGGCCGAAAGAGCCCGAAGTGGAGCCGAAGCCCGCAACTGGGTTGCTTTGAGACCCCTTTCAGGGCCCTCCCATACCTCCAGAAGCTTCAGGGTTTCAGAGTGAACGTTTTAAAGGAGTTTGTAGGGATTTCAAGGCACAAGCTGAGCTCGTGCCACCTTACATCAGTGAAAATTCCTCCTGGCAGTCCTCTCACCATGTCTAAGCCCAGCCGAATTCTGAACGCAATCTGGGGACGAGCATCCTGTGATTTCTAGGTCGCCGGACAGCTCTGCTTCCGGAAGCCACTCGATGGCAATGACATGTAACAACTATGAAGCTTCGAACTTTGTTTCATGCCAAGGTTCCGCACAGTGCTTGGTATAGACAGGTAAACAGATATGATGTGGCACGCCCCGGTGGTGTATCTCCTGTGTGTCTCCACATGCTTGCGCGCCAAGAAGACCCAAGCCTAATGGCAGTCGGTAAAGCTCAAGGAACATGCGGCATGACAAGAAGTCCTCGTTCATACCAGCTAGCTCGGTAGGCAAGAGCACAGCCGAATCGAGAGAGCCCGAACCGGTTATCAGTATCCCGCATCCCGGAGACCCAAGAGATCACAGGACGCCTTCGATTCCCGCCTCCTGGGCCATACACGAGTACGTATGTTTTATGTTGCTTTTTTTGCTCACCAAGAGATGAAGTGAGTAGCAACAGAGCCAGCAGCTCCAGCATGTTTGGTGGCATGGCCTGACTGTTTGCGGCTTCGGGCCTATGGAGTTCCCTGAAACTTTGCCTTGGAGCTCAGGCCCCTGCACCTCCGCCGATTGTGCCCTCCAGGCCTGTGATCACCTGGTGTCATCGGTGGCTTAAGGAATGGATGGAGCTGTGGAGTCACAGGGGGCCCCTTTACCAGTTTATGGTTCTTGCACCCTTCAACTGAGAGAAACAAGACAGCTGAGAGTGTAACAAAAAGGCTCTTCCAACTCATCGGCTGAGACATGTTCTGGGCTCACACAAAAGTTCAGAGAGGCCAGAGACCTGTGCAAGGCAACGTGATGGGCTGATATTGCCGAGCTCTCTGAAAGGGCAAGCACTCCCCGGCATCTCGGCCGTGAGGAGTATCTGGGAGCCACAACACTATGTTCGGCAACGCTCACCACACGTGATCTTGTAACCTCGTAAGCGCGCCCACCTCCATTGCACTCGACCAGCGGCTTGAGCAATACCCTTCTCTCTATACAGGCGTGTATTGGTCCATATACGGAAACAGAGAACGGGAGGGAGGCAGGGAGGGAGGGCGGGAGGACAACCTCAAGCATCGAATCGACGCGAGCCACAGACAGCTCCAGCAATTTCGAAGAATTGCAGTTCTCATGTTAGCTGTTTTTCAGCGCATTGTCAAGGTGCTGCCGATGCTGCTTCAAAGATGGAGGATTGGACTGCGCTTGTCGTATAGTGCAAAGGGATGTACCAAAGTGCCTAAATGTGGTCAGTTCCCAGCGGTCAACAGTGCGAGTAAGAAAGTGCTCGTAGAAGCCCGAGTGATACGAAGACCATTATTCATTCCCTTCTCCAATCCTGGCCCTAAGCCGCCTTCGAGAGCAGTCGCCTAGCAGTCGCTGCACTTGCCAGTACTTGCCTTCAGCGTGCAATCGAAACATGATCGAGTCCTGTCCCCCGCTGTCCTTGGAGGAGACCGACATTGAGCCTGGCCAGGGACACGCGGCTGCATGTAGGAAAGGTGGCTTGGCTCCTTGCCCTCTAGATTCGCCTGGTTTCGCGGGCAAGTTGAACGTGCCCCAAAGCTGCGGCAGTGCTTGGAGTCTTGGAGTCTTGGAGCCTTGGAGTCAGGCTACGGCCTCTTCGACCTGGACCTCGAAGGGCCCTTCCAGGGCTCCTGAGCTTGCGAGCAGGGGGGTGACCACTGGGCGTGACCGAGACGTGTAGCTCTTGGGGTGCTTGCTTCAGACATGCCCCAGGCTGGCGGAAGGCTGCACGACAGTCGAGGCCACATGCCTGGATGTCCATTTGCATCTATTGACACATGGATGTACGTAGTTATCATCTATATTTGGGTTTCGCCGGCTTGTGTCCTCATTGTGCAAAGTAGGCATCGCAGAGGTTTTATTTCTTGCTTTTCATGTTTCACCTATCGCCTGCAATTTCCCAAACCCACAGTTCTTGTCACAGCTGCTAGTTGTCGGTTTGTGGCTTGGAGGCTTTGGAAGCGGCGCAAGCGCGAGGAGAACGCCAGGCAGGCAAACAACAGATGGTGTCGGGATGTTTCGGGGTCACGTCGCCATGTCTCCTCCGTCTTCAAACCTTTCTGTATCTCTGTACCCTTTTGCTTTCGTTTCTTTGGACTGGAACTCGGTTTCCTCTCTTGCACAGGCCTGCATCAACACCACGGATAACGCATCTAATCAGGTTCCAGCTGGAACATCCTGCTCCTAGGACATCATGGTCACGTGTGTCTGCTCAGAGATGGCTGTATGATACCCAGAATGATGCTTGTTTAGCCGGCGGAGCTGCTGCGTGGCTGAACTCTGCTGAACATGGCATGCCCGTTGGTCATGGAAGATCATGGAAGTGGTGGTTGGCATGTGGGCCAGGCGCTACCTCGGAAAGTGGGGCCGAGCACAAGCCGTCCCTCGGCGCTGCGTCGGAGCTTCGCGTCAGGGGCGGTCTCGAGGACGACGTCCCTATTCTCTCGCTACCTCCGGATATCTCCCCCACTTCCCTTTCGGCAAAGGTTTCATGATGCTTCTGGGGTTGCAGCCTTTAGGACTTCAAACCTCCGCTCGTGACTCATATTATGTTTTGGAACGCCAGCTACCAAGCAGCAGAGGCCCCAAAATCCCCAATCCGCCTCAAAACCCCTCACGTTCTTGCCGGCTTCAGGTTTGGGCATTACTTGGAGCCCTTCATGGGTGGCCGGGCCGCAGATAGTGATAGTGGCAACTTTTTTCTCAATTTGGCAACTGGGAGGGTTTCGGGGTTTCGTTTCATTTGCAGAGTTTTTCCGGAGAAGAAGTTGTTACCCGACTTCAACAAAGCCCAGCGTATCCACTGGTCCTGCCCAACGCCTTGCTGCCCAAGCTTCCTCATGCTTCCCAGCCTTAGAGACAGGGAAGCTTATGCCCAGAAAGTTTATGGATCTGCATGCGCCTACGCCTCAAAGGTTGGTCTCGGCATACAGACCTGTAGCAGATGCCAGCAGCCTTTCGCGTGGACAGCGCGTCGCCCGGCCTTTGGGAAATGCTGCCCGCAGTAGAGCTGCGGGCCCATTTTTGTTGACTTTGTAGATGCGACCAAGGAGTATTCGGGCAGGCTTAGCCGCACCTTTAGAGTTGCAGTGCCCAGGACTGCACAGCTCTGCGAGCTGCAAGTCTCTGCTTAGACGGTTCGGATGTGATCTCAACAGGGCCTGATGGGCTGGGAGCCTCATTGTCATCGAGCCGAGGTCCGTGCCCACGGGCAAAGCGGGGCTTTCCTCTCCTGCACAGACAAAGGCACCCGAACCTTTCGTGAAGGGAGAGTCTAGGCACCAGCAAGACATAATGACATGTGTATGTACAGCCATATACTTGCGTAAACGTACGCGTATACGTGTATACGTACATATATGTGAAATGCGCATCCCTCCGAACCGTGTGGAGACCAGTAGCCGAGACCTTGAAGCCGAACCCAGCAACATTCTGACGCAGGAGTTTGCAAGGTTCTCTTTGACGGGACGTCCGACGCGCAGATCGTCCCGACACAGGATCTCGACAAGATCGAGCTGCTTGCCTACGAAGATGCCGGAGCCGCAAAGCATCCGAGCCTTTTTGAAAGTGACCTTGCGGACCCGAGGCCAGGGCATCATCCCTTCATGGCAGCTCGGAGCAATTGTATGCCCGGAGCATTAGATCAATGGGGCCTGGCGGTGTAGCGGCATCATGTCGCATGTTAGTGGCATGTTCGTCCCTCATATTTCTGCCCGTTTTAGGTCGCGATTGTGTTCACTGCGTGCCTTGGCCAGAGTTCGGTAAAAGCACCCGGGATTGTGGGCGATCTACCATGATTAGCTGTGTGAGCCTCTCCCTGTGCGATGAACTACCGCATTTCCAGAGCAGCTCGTAGCTCGATGGTTTTGCAAAACCCTGATTCTGATCGTTCTAACTTCGAACCGTCTGAAACCCTGCAATGACCTATACCGCTGGTTGCCGTGACAGCGCTCGGTTTAAGACTGAAGGTCTTGGCAGAAGCCCGGACCCTACATCTCCCTTAGACACCAAGGGCCTGAACCCCAAACTCTTCAAAACATTGAACACGCGGCGAACGGGTTTCAACCTTCCCCCCCCCCCCCATCCCCATCTCGCTGGAAACACCTAAATTTCCTCCCCCCCCCACGCCCCAGCCCCCAAAGCCCTGAACGCCCACACAGCCAACCCCAAACCAAGCCCTCAATCCTGAAATCCCCTAAGCCAACCTCGACCCTTGAGCCCCGACACCCCAAACCATCCTTCGACCCAAGGTGGTCGGTGTTGTCGGCTTCCAGCCTGCAGCTCGCCACCTCCCGGCTCCGCTCGGACCTGGCGCCGCCCGGCCAAGCTGGAGGGGGTGTGTGGGCGGGAGGGGGGGGGGGAGTTCGGGTTCTGGGGCTTCGGTTCCGGGTTTAGGGTTTAGGGCGAGGGAGGGGGAGGTTTCAGGGTTTGGCGGGTCCAAGGGGCTGCTGCGACACATCTTCGTGCGGGGGGGGGGGGAGTGGCGAGAGCTTCTGTGTGAGCGTGTGCCTGTCATGCAGGTTTCACCGAGCCTTCGGCAAGCTGGGCCGCTGCCTCCTGTCAATGGCCATGCTGACCGACCCCAGGAGCACGTCTACAGTACTGTATGATTGTAGGCTCTTGTTGTGATTCTTGATTCTTGATGATTGTTACGGTAGCATCAGCCTGACAAGTGTTTCGACAGGGTTTAGGGCAGTTCATGACTTCAGGGCCTAGGGAGCCACGAAGATTCCTCCACAGCAACGCATGTGAACATTGAGAACACAGTTCCCCAGCCAACCCGAATTCATCCAACCTTGTGAGCCCTAAACCGTATAAGCCCTACATAAACACCATATACACGCTATAAACATCTACAGCTTCCGTAATCCAGCCGAACATAACCCCCAGAAACCCGAAACGCCGAACCACCCCGAGACCTGAACTACATGCCCCTGAAGGCATTTCTCGAGACTCATACAGGAACCGAGATGAACGGGGCTTATGGTTTAGGGTTCTGGTTCGGGGATTGGCAATAGTGAGGCAGGTAGTTTGACTGCCACACGTACCTGAACTTCCGCCCCGGAACCCAGAAGCTTCCGCCTCACAAATGCAGGATCGCGATGAAGTTTGTGGTCTCCGGCTGGCACGCCTTGGTTGCTGGCAAGGACCTCCTAAAGGTCCTGAGCACTATTTAAAAATGTAAATATGTATAGTAAAAGCATGCTATATACGATACGTGTTAGTTTCTTAGTTCATTCGCAATATATAGCATCTACCTTATCTACGTATATGTATATATACATATATATATATATATATATGTCGCATATCATACACAGCATATAATACACAATATATAACATGTAAATGCATACACACAACTTCTAGATAAACATACTAAATGGAGGAGACAAATAAACATACGTAAACAAAACAAACCTGAACAAATATCAAGATGGTTTTTATAGCCCTATAAGCCTCAAACACGAACCCCAGCCGGCCGGAGCCCTTTGGAAGTTGCCGGAGCCCTTGGAAGTTGCAGGGTCCACGGGAGGCTTCGTTTTTCCGGACTTCAATGGGCCTACGTGGGACCTGGCGCAGTGCAGGAAGCGGAGAAGACGCGCCTGCGGCGGCTAAGGGAGGCGCTCCACATGGCCCCCCCCCACCAATTGAAACCCTAAACCCTAAACCCTAAACTCTAAACCCTAAACCCTTGTCAATCAGTCGATGGCCACTTTCACTTTGTCACGATGCTGGCGCCAGACGCCCTTGCCCCACAGGTTTTCAAGGCTTGGCTCGAGGTGCTGGTCATGGTGCCTCGCAGAAGATAGGGCCTCTGTGGGTTCAGAAAAAGGTTGGTTTTTGAGTGAAGTTTGAGCCAAGGAAGAGGAGCCAAGGATGTAGTGAGATTTCTTAACTTTCACTTCGGGGTTCAGGCGTGTAGCTGGGATATTCTGCTGGATCCCGATAGTCCTCATAAACCCCTCCCGTCATATGGCGTATGCCTACGCTTACAGGTCAAGCACAACAATGTCTTGGACCGGCTCGACGAGACCAAGCTAGAGCTGGAGCAAGCAAGGGCAAAGCATCTCAAGGCCGAAAGTCCACAACTTAGGGGTTTTGGGGAGACATTTGGGGTTTAAGCCTTCAACAGATAGACTACACCCACTGAAGTTGCATTTAGCTTTGTGTGAGATGGGAAAAGTGATTCTGCAAGTGCCTTGTCGGGTGCCACGCTCGCTCGCGCGCGGGCCGCTGACGCTGGCTGTCTTGTTGGAGTGACGGCGGTGGAATATGCGGTGGTATATGCTACATGTTATTTATATATATATATATATACATATACACACTAAATCACTTTGTTTAGGATGTCAATGGCGTAAGTTTAAGAAACAAATTTGGGAACGTTCGGATTTTGAAAGTCTTAAATGGATCAACTGCAGGGACGGAAGTTTCAAGTTATGATCTTGGTTTAGTTGACGAAATTTCTAGAATCTTGTCGAAACTTGCCCTGGGACAAGCAGAGCCAGGAAGCCCTTTGGGTCAAAATCGCACCTGGACCAGGAGGGTCTCACTGGAGAGTCCCAGAAGCCGTTCGTGAATCGAATCTTGCAATCTAGAAAGCTCGTGAAGATAGCACCGGGTTAGCAGCCTCAGGCTGGCCAACGCTGCGAGTGGCTGAAGGCGCTGGGGCTGGGGGCTTCACTCGGGTGGGGAAATGTGGGGAAGAGAGACTCTGACCCTTTTCCCGTAGTGTCCGGGAAGTCTGCAGCCCTGGCTTTCTCAGTCACAATGAGTGTGC